CTGCCCACTGCCCTCCCCCCACCCCTTCCCCTGTCCTGTCCACCGCCCCTTCAGTGCTCCTGCTGAGTCTTGGTCACTTCCATACAGAGACCCCTCTCACCTCTGCCTCTCTGCTTTCTCAAGGTCACATCTTCCACCTCACACGTCTCCCATCCACTCTCTCTGAGGGGCAGTCTTGGATCCCCGAATGCTCAGACCTCCTGCTGATGAACCATCTACACCCCGTAGAAGCTTGTGCAGGACACCACACCAGCCTTGCACACATCCAGGGCGGTCCCTGTATGTTGTCTCCCCTCTCCTGTCCCCCACTTGGCCATTCTCAGCAGCCAATGTCTCCCCCTCCTATCTTGGGGGATTTTTCTCTTGGCCTCCCCTTCCCCTTCAGGTCCTCCGGCTCCTGTGCCCATTTCCAGCCACACACCCAGACAGGATTCTCCCCATTTCCTGTTCCCAGTGTCTCCCTCCACATGGGAGTCCCTGCTCTGCTGCTGTGGGGGGCCCCATGTCCACTGGGCTGCTGCACCCGGGGTCCACGCTCCTTGCTCCCTGTCCTTTCCCTCTCTCAGCAACAGGAGGTTTGACACCCACCCTCCACCCCACCCCCGGCCCCTCCCCCCACTGGATAGGCGATGCTCCTCCCCCATCTCTTTTAAGATGGTGCTCCTCTGGCCCCTGACACCCCTCCCCTTGAGCTTGATCTCAGACCCCTCTGCCCTCTATTGTTGCTCACCTCCTTGGACCCATTGCTCTCTCCAGAACACATGTATATCCCTAGTGGTCGGCTTGACCCTTGACCTAGGGGAGGAAAAAGTGAAAAAAGCTGCTTGTGGCCCCTTTTCCCCCAACGGGGAGTAGATTCTCAGCCAATACCTTGGGTGTGTCCTGCTGAACAGACTGGGGGTGTTCACTAAGAGGAGAGACTCATCAGAGAGAGGTTCCCTGTGGACCTCTGGACACGTCATCTCGGGGTACAACTGAGATACTTCACAATACCACACTTTCCAGCAGTGGGCTGCCGGCCTGCATTCCTCAGAGGCAATGTAGAAACACACACCCTTTCCATCACGCGCTCACGTTAAGGACCAAAGCAAGGAGCCAGAAGACAAGGGGATGATGCTGGGGTGGGAAGCATCTGTGAGGGGAGAACCTGCCTCCCGACCTGGGCAAAGGATGCAGGGGCAGAATGTGTCTGACCCTGAATCTACTGAAGGCTTGCAACCCCCGGGGAAGGCTTGGATGGCAAATGGTGGCTCATTTGGGTCATTTTCAGCTCTCAGTATAGTAGCAGCTACCCATACGCATCCCCCAGCCCCACCCCAATGGCCTGCCACCACGCACATGTTTCCAGAGCAGCTGGAACCCAGCTTGCAGGAACCAAGGTGGGCAAAGAGACCCTGTCCTCCAAATACTGGGGATTTGTTCTGTGACAGCTGATTGCCGCTTCTAATAACAGAAGTGCAGACAGAGGTGGGCACCATTGTAGTTGCCCCCCTGCCCCCCACCCATTGCAAAACTGTCCCCCTCCAGCTGGAGTAACTTCCAGGGAATTTAAAAGGAGAGCACACTTTTCTCCCCACTCCCCCTATATTTTTCACTTTTTTCCTCTTTGGGGAGCTAAATATTAAAGACAAGGACATTCAAAAGCAACTGCATATATAAGGGAAATTAGAAAGTGACCATGCATGTCCAGGGAAAGTCTCAAAAAGATCTAGGAAGACCTTAAGTTACCCTCAGACTGATCCTCAGCACAGAAACAGCCTATGGCAGTCAAAGAAAAAACAAAAGGGTGCCTGAGTGGCTCAGTCAGTTAAGCATCTGACTCTTGATCTCAGCTCAAGTCTTGATCTCAGGATCATGAGTTCAAGCCTTAGGCTCCACACTGGGCATGGAGTCTATTTAATAAAAAAAGAAAAAACATAAATGTTGGGAAAGGGGGAGAATCTGATTTTCAGAGTTACCACATTATTACATTCAAATGTCCAGTGCTCAACAAAAAATTGCAAGGCATACAAAGACAGAGGAAAGTATGGCCCATTCAAAGGAAAAAAGTAAATCAATAGGAACTGCCTCTTGAAAAAAGTCTAATGGCAAACATACTAGACAAAGACTTTAAAACAACTGCTTTAAAGATGCTCAAAGAACTAGATAAGACTCCCTCCTTATCAGTAATTACTTACATATAAATGGATTAAACTCTCCAATCAAAAGACAGAGATGGGCAGAATAGATAAAAACACAAGATCCAACCATAGGTTGTCTACAAGAGACTCACTTGAGATCCAAAGACACAAATAGATTGAAAGTGAAGGGATGGAAAAACATACTCCATGCAAATAGTGACCAGAGGAGAGCAGGGCTGGCTACACTCACATCAGACAAAATAGACTTAAATTCAAAAATGATTACAAGAGACAAAGGACAGTATATATTAATAACATCTCAGTAAAAGAAAATATAACAATTATAAACATTCACACACCCAATGACAGACCATCAAACTATATGAAGCAAAAGCTGACAGAATTGAAAGGAGAAATAGCCAGAAGTACAGTAACAGTTGGAGATGTCAGTCCCCCACTCTCAGTAGTGGATGAACAACCAGACTGAAGATAATAAGGGACCAGAGGACTAACCCCAAGCAACCAACCAGATGCAGCAGACACACAGAGCACCCGCCCAGCGACAACCGCACACGCCTTCTCTCGGGCACTCGGGACAGTTTCCGGGACAGACCATGTGGGAGACCACGTGGTAAGTCTCAGTAGTTTTTATTTATTTATCCGAGAGAGAGCTAGAGCGAGTGCACAAGCAGGGGGAGGAGCAGAGGCAGAGGGAGAAGCAGACTCACCACTGAGCAGGGAGCCCGACGCGGGGCTCGATCCCAGGACCCTGAGATCATGACCTGAGCCGAAGGCGGGCGCTTAACTGACTGAGCCACCCAGACATCCCAGTCTCAGTAGTTTTTTAAAAGGTCGATATCATACAAAGTGTCTTCTCTGGCCACAACAGGATGAAGATAGAAATCAGGAACAGAAGGAAAACTGGAACATTCACAAATTTGTGGAAATTAAGTAACATACTCTTTTTTTTTTTTAAGGATTTTATTTATTTGACAGAGACACAGCGAGAGAGGGAACACAAGCAGGGGGAGTGGGAGACGGAGAAGCAGGCTTCCCGCAGAGCAGGGAGCCCGATGCGGGGCTCGATCCCAGGACCCTGGGACCATGACCTGAGCCGAAGGCAGACGCCTAACGACTGAGCCACCCAGGCGCCCCTTAAGTAACATACTCTTAAATCAATTGATCAAAGAAGAAATCACAAGAAAATTAGAAAATACTTAGAAACAAATAAAGATGAAAAATCTTCAACACAACAAAACTATGGAATGCGGTGAAAACCATGCTAAGAGTTAGGGGAAATTTATAGCTATAAACACATTTAAAAACAGAAAAGATTTCAAATCAACAATTTGAGTTTACTACTTAATGAACTAGGAAGAAAAGAACAGACTACACCCAAAGCTAGTGGAAGGAAGGAAATAATAAAGATGAGAGTGTAGATAAACAAAATAGAGAATGGGAAAACAAAAGAGGAAATCCATGAAACAAAAAGCTGCTCCTTTGAAAAGATCATCCAAGTTGACAAACCTTTAGCTATACAGGCTAAGAAAAAAAAGAGAGAAGATTCTGATTACTAAAGTCAGAAATGAAGTGGGAACATTATTACCGATTCTACAGAAATAAAAAGGATTGTCAGAGTCCTGTGAAGAGTTGTACACCAACAAATTGGATAACTTAGATAAGTGGACAAATTCCTGGAAACACAGAA